AGAAAATTAACTCTATCCCAGCCAAAACCAGGACACCTCTCAATATAGGAAAGGAGAATTTTCAATCACTGAGTGCAGTCAGTCTCACTTCTACTGCCACGAGGTAGTAATGCCCCAGACGGTGGGGAAAGTTGATCAGTGTTCTACCACCGAGCGAAAGAAGACTGACAGATGCAACTTTATGTTCAAAGTGCTGTCTCATGCTCTGAAATGAACACTACATATGACAATAATATAGCAATTTGAAACTGCATTCCCAAAGCCAGCATGTCTCAGTGATACAAAAATTCAGGAAAAAAGGCATGCAAATTAGATATTTGTTTTAAATGAATGATCTCTGTAATCGTACATAACTTATTCAAGCAATAAATCTGTATGAACTGAAGCGGCAGGCTGACATTCACATACAATTATGCGTAGTGTTGAGTACCTTATAACTGTGAGTGACATGGTTGATTTCATTTGGGCCATTTGCAGTATAAGATAACAGCCAACATGATTACAGATATGGCTTATGAGCCAGGCCAGTTATCTAACTACTACATTTATAGCTTAAAATAAAATCATATTTTGGAATCTGCTTATCTATACAGCCAAATGTTCTTCCCAGTAAGATGCCAAGGAAAAGATCATAGTGGTATGTGGAAAACTAAGACAGAAGGAATTACAGTACATTTGTATTGCGAACTCATTGACCTTGTTAGATTTTATAAAGATGATGGGTTCCCTCACGAATGTCCTACAGCTTCCCTGGTTATTCTCTGGGCCTCTGATACACACCATATTTAACCATACACAAAACATATTTCCAGATTAAGACCTAAAAATATCCTTTTTAGGACCTGTTTTTCATACTGATCTTAATGGACTTACTATGCCTAAGAAAAATGCCTATGTTCAGCAGACAGCACACTTCCTAAGCCTGGTATTTTAACTAGTGAAAAGTCTATTTTTTTTTTTTTAATACTAATTACAATGGAAAGCTTTATAGTTGAGCCCCAGTACTACGGAGGCAGATAATGAAGTCCCTTGGCCAATTTATGCTGTAGAGGTATGGCAGTCTTCCCATTGCAGTAAGTATGTTTATGGTGATTAATCAAGTAGAAGTCTGAAAAACAGGGATAATTTCGCATTTTCTTCCTTTACTGAATGACAACCTGTAATATTGTCCTGCACGGTCTGCTAATTTTTTAGATTTTCTGAGCCAAAAAAACATCAACAAAGTAAACGTTCAGCTACACAAGTAATCATGCTGATGTTCAAGTCAGATTCCGGTCCACTCTGTGCAACTATGCTATAAAGATCCTCTTAGATCACTGCTCATTATGCAGGTTCCCTCAAGTCTTCTTTAGCCCAAATTTTATGGAGAGGTGGGAATTATGATCCACTCCACCTCACCTTGCAGACTCCAAAGCCATATCTTGATATCTGGCCTTTATATACTATGCCTGATAATAGCTCTGGCACTCTTCTAATTCTAGTTCAGCTATGTAATCAAGAAGGTGCTTCCCCTTACAGACTAGATTGACAGGTGATTGTTGACTAATATCATGTTACCTTTCTTGTATATTTCCCAAATCATGATTCATAATCAAGACAGCACAGGTCAAAAAGTCAATTGCCTATTTCAAATAGGTCTGTGCTGCTGAGAACTGTCATTTCTCAAAGCAGACTCTCAGTCCCAATTACTTATAGTGAAATGATTATATTCTGAAATTCCTGTACCAGGTGGTGACTAATGAAGAGTTCAAACAAGGGTAATGGAAAAGAGCATAGAGTCTTTACAGATAATATCATTCAACTGACTCAGCATAATTCTATTGGTTTTTAACTATTGTAATTCATTGCTGTTCACACCTGTATAATTCAAACAACAATCTGCTCAACTATCATTTGATATTTCTATCAATTCTTATTCACTGTTTCATTTTCAAAAATGGAGCAGATCTTCCTTTACGTAACATGGAAATACAGAGTACTTTAAATTTTGAATTAGTTGTATAATGTTATTGCTAAGCACTTCATTAAAAAACAGAAACAGGTTGGTAAATAGATTACTGCAAAAGGCTGGGCTTAAAGAAATTCGATTTCTAATTTGGCTTTTTGTAATCTTCTTGTATTTATCTAGGAAATTATTTAAACCTCTGCTTTGTTTTCTCTTCTACAGCATTTTGCTATTAATCTCTACTGTGATATTAAGCTCTTATGATAACTAATGGAAGACTATAATCATGCTGTGATAAGTAAACAGGGTACCGTATTCTTAAAAATATAAACCTATACCTTCTATATATAACTCTATACCTTCTATAACATTACACTTACACCAAAGACTATGTAAAGGATTATTTGGTGATTTACCTGGTCTTGAGGAAGGTACTCTTGCTATCTCTAGGGAACAAGGTTTTTTGGTCACTGCTATGTCTATCGAATCACAAAGACTGCTGTCATTTTCTGAAGGAACTGCATCCAGAGGTACAGAGGGTATTGCTTCCAATGCATAACCTCTCTTCTTTGAATAAGATTCCTGAAATGCAAAAATTTAAGTAGGTAAGAGATATTTCTCAGATGACACAGGAAAAGAAACAGGTTCAATAACTCTGGCTAGCAGGGTTTAAAATTCAGCAAATTCAATACCACATTCTGCTGAAATCCAAATTGTAACAGACTGGAAGAATTACTTGCATGCTAGGAGATAATATTTCTTGTTAAATTTTTGTGTAATATAGTTCTTGTTTAGTTACAGAAAAGTCTTTATTCATCAAACTTTCTACTTAGCAAAAGCTCCAACGCAAGTGGTCTTGCCATACCTGCTTTGCTAGGTTCTAATTCAGGGGATGTCTCTTATTCAATTTTTTTGATTATATCTCATGGAAGTGACAAACACATTAACCACTGCAATTCCTTTCTTTTTGGGGATGGTTTTACAGTATGTTTATATTACATATAACAAAGCTAAAGATATGCCATCTACATTTTGACAGCAGAAGCCCAGGTTGTGAATGAAGATGAATTACTGCTCCGTATTTGAGTGAACAGCAAGAATGGTGCAAGGTCCCTTAGCAGTGATACATATAGTGAATTCCCATCATTAGCAAATGTTGAGGGAGGGAAAAAAGGAATTAGTCGGAAGTTTTGCTGGTACACTAAACTGTCCAGTCAAGCAGACTGTCTCTGCTTTACAACACGAATAAGAAGATACCATACAGTTTCACCAGAGTTTCTTGATTTGTGATTTTTTTTTTTTTTTTTTAAATCTCAGCAGAAAGCAATTGCATGGGCAAAGAGGTATTTCCACATCTTTCTTATATTGGACATATGGATGCCTTGGAAAGCCAAGCACCGCACATAAATCAGATATGATATAATAAAATGCAAAGGGCCAGAAAGCACCCTGACAGATATTATCATAGCACTACTTAGAAAACGATTGAAGAATGTGATGAAGAGAACAGGATGCAGAATAACAATTTCTTCAACAAGAAGAACTCACATTGCCTACGGTAAACTATGGCTGTAGCTAACAGTCTCTTTTAGGTAAATGATTTGTACTGTTAGCAGATCACTACACTACCAAAGTTTTTGCAGTTTTTCCTGCTTGTTTCGTCATGGCCTGATTTTTATGACAATTCATACTCCGGTAATAATGCAAGGCCTCTCAAAGGATAGGGTTGAGATGGCAGCAACAGGAGCTCCACTTCAAAATTCTACTTGATGACTTCAGTAGAACCAAATTTTAAAGGACTCCTATGTTAACCCACCACTGAATAAAGAACTTGAAAATGAATACTGGAAACAGTTAACAGGCAAAAAAAAAAAAAAATCATACAAAATAAAATAAACAGAATACGAACAAGCATTTGTAATAATAAAATATAAGAGTATGTACTAGCAAACAATACAAGATTAGTGGTCAGTGTTCAAAAAACATGCCTAAGAGAGGAATGCAATTGTGTCTCTACCTTTTTTACCCTTTCCTCTTTATGTCTAGTCAGAGTATGAGCTCTCTGCATTAGCAATTTTACTGATATATACTAATAGTAACTAGTTTCAGCTAGCGGACTCCAAAGACATAACAAGGAATTGGAAAAGTTTGTAAGTGGGCTTACTGCATCTCCAAATACAACTTTTAAACTTAAGCCATCTAATTCCTTAAGTGAAGTTAACAGAAAATTATTCCTGCAACCCACATCCTGTAAAAAACAACCAAAAAAGTTGTGTTTTTTTTTAAATCCTGCAAATAACACTGGCATAAAATGAAGCATGGGTATTAGGAATAGTACAACTGAAATCAAGAAGTTTACAAATACAGAGTTTTATTACTGGAATAAATGTGCATGAGTTGAAATCTTAGGTTTAAGTTAGAGCAGACTTTAAAACCCTTGTAATTTATAAATAACAGCACTGTTAACTCTGTATTATATTCCTGCCTTTTTATCAGAATAAATATAGAAAACATTTCTCCCTAAACTGCCCTGTGTAATGTGGAGACATTTAAGTGGCTGACGTGCAACCACAGGACAAGAGGAGGATTCCTTCCTACCCTGAAAAAACGAAATTTCTACCTTGTCCATTTAAGCCTGCTGTAAAAAGACAGGGGAAAAAAAATTATTTACCAAAGCAATGACTAAAACAGCAGACTTCAATTTAATCCCTGTATATGCAAGTTTCTATATGAGTAAGTCAGAATGCCAAAACCCTAGTAATGGTAAATCTGCCTAGAGAAGCCCATGAAGAAATACTTAAAATTGTCACCAGACACCAAAGTGAAACCCTGTTCAGCTCCTGAATTCAGCTACAGGAAAAAAAAAAAAAAACAACCAAACAAAAATCAAACAAAACACATTAAAAATTGATATACAAAACATAAGAATAGACATAGGATCATACTTTATGTCTATGTCACCCAATATTCTGTCTACAAAGGCAGACAACAGTGCTGTCCTAGAGAACAGTGAGACCAGCACAAGACCAGGACAAGCATGTGGTAGTACTTCTCCTCCCACAACCCTCTGAGGGTCCCTCACTTCATAATCAAAAGGTGCTGACTTTGTTTTGCATGTCCACCAATCAAACTTCCTAAAATTACCTTCTCAAGTTGCCTTTAGAGGACGTTACTTTTTACAGTTTGCATGCACCTCATTTTGTTATTAGCTATCTCACCAAGTTTGACATGCCTAATTCTTGTACTTTAGAAGGCAATGAATGGTTGTTCTTTACTTATCATCTCCTTGTGATTTCACAGACCTCTTATCACACTTTCCTTGACCTCTCCTCTTGGGAATGAGAAATTCTAATCTAATCACCCAGCTGTTCCAGGCTTTTGACCATCCCTGTCATCCTCACCCTCTCAGTCTTCAGTGATATGACAGGGATCAAATTTTCACATGGCATTCAAGATGAGGGCTCACCAAGCATTCATACTGACATAACAATGTTCCCTCTTTTGTACTTTACTCCTTTCCTAATTGCTCTTAACATTCAATTTGATTTTCTGAATGTTATTCAACATTCTATAATTAATATTGCAAGAATATAAATGTCAGAGAAGAATAAATAAAAATGATGGGGTTACTGAGAAAATGGTTGGAATATAAATTACTGACAAGTAAATTCTTCTTAAATCTCTCCCTAATAAAACAAAATGATAATAGCATGCCAAGCAGAACTTAAATTAAGTTAGAGTGAAAAAAGAATTGTTAATACTTTAAAAACTCTGGAATCTGATCAAATGATTAAGTGAAGAGAATAACCCATAATTTAAAAGTGCATATGTAGCAAAAAAAGACAAACTTCTCATTGCTGGAGAAGAGCAATGTAAAGTCTTCTGGTTGCTGCAATGTGTTCTCCATTTTGCAGGTACTGAGCATATTCTAGAAATTTTTAAGCTCTAAACTAATTCAAGTTAGATGTTAGCAGATGACATAAAACTGCCTTCAAGTATCAGGCATCAAGCAATGTGATTCTGTTTTTTTCTAAGATTAAAAGCTCTTCAGCATTCTTCTCAGTAATACCAGTTCTGTTGTCTCACCTCACCCACTGCAATGAGCAGTAACTCTACAGTAATCCTACATGTCCTAGATATTTTCATCTGTATAATAAAACCTTCTAAAGAAATACTCTTCCATTATAGTTTAATAATCTTTAGTCCTGAAATCAAAATAATCTAAGTTTATTTTTTTTAAATTAGAGATTATTCAATCTTGAATTTCTGTAAACTATTCCAAAAAAATGAAGATGACACATGCAACTGACCACTGCTATCAAGTCAGAATTAGTCCTTATTTGAAATTACAACTTCATAAAAGTAATGTGCTGGGCTGCCAGTACATTAAAATAAGTATTTTTGTGGAAAGGATAAAAATACATACACAATAGAATTGAGAGAAAGTAGAGAAGAGTGCGAGTGAGTGAGTCACCAGGAAAGCGTTAGAGAACAGTTGCCTGTACTGATAAAATATAAATTAGATTTTTGCCTTGTAGAAAGAAACAGCAATGTGAGATTGAAGTTGCAGAGCACATGCCAGGGACATACCACAGCCCTTACTCAGAGGCCCTCAAGTCAGCTGGGTCTCTTCTGGACATATCTTGATGGTGTAATACCTATCACACGTAATCTGAAACCTAAACAGGACTAGAAAATAGAAGGGGAGGAGTGGCGGGAGGATGTGATTGTTGATCAGTGGGAATGGATTTGCTTCTAAAATATCTATATGGCAATTGCAAATGGTTATATACAAGCATAAAAACAATCTTCCATAACATAAACTACATGATGTTGAGTTAGGCTTTTTTTCCACATTTCTGCCAAGCTTCTAGCTAGTCTTGCTTCTGCCTTCTAGATACTCTTGCATTCCTTATAAGAATCAATCAGAATGATGTATGCTCAAGGACTGAGATATAAGCAGCATATACAAATTTGTGTTTGTATGTCCTAAGAACAAAATGATAGAGGCTCAGTAAGCATCTAATCTGAACTGATATTCTTACAAGAAGATAGAATTTGTATTTAACTGAAAATTTTTCATACTGTCCATTTCCCTTCCTGTAGAAATCAGGTCAGTTGAAGTTTTATTGCTTCCCTGGAACATGGGACAACACATCAGAGTCAGACATGACTGCCAGATGAGCAACAGCAGAAAAACTGGTCTTTAAAGATGTACTGTTACATCTCTTTCATTGCATTCATTACAGTGATAATTCACGTAGGTATGTTGTGTCTCACCAGGCAATTATTAACTTATTTATACCTTATAAATTCTAGATTTATTCACAGTTGTCTTGACCTCCTGGAGTCTAGGCTATTCACAGTTGAAGGCCACACCGTATCCCATTATTTGAAAACTTACTAGCTTTTGCTGAAGTCTCTCTTTTGATATATGACTTCCTTGCCATTAAACACTAACTGTCCTCATAATTTATGTAAAAGACACGTAATAAGAATCACAAAGATTAGAATAAATAGTTATTTTAGCCCTAAAGCACTTTTTTAGAAAGTATGGGGATCAAGAATGCTCCTATGCATAT